CCTGCAGATTAGTTGGGAAGAAAGAATCACTACCCAAGATGTGACATGGGCTAGTAGAGGGAGGCAAAAGCAGGGATGTGCCCCTCAAAGTCTGAGCAGAATGGGAAAGGAAGTGATGAGCTGGGTCTATGGAAAGACTTAGAGGGCCCAAGGAGCATGCTGGGAGGTGAGGCTGGTCCACTCAGCCATACAGAAACATCTGGGAAGAAGACTAGGAGGATTGTTTGACTAGGACAGTGGAAAGGAGGAGAAGTTAAGGTAGGCCAAGTTCCTCCTGGTGTCTAGGGTTAACTACTAGAGGAAGTTAATGGGACTAGACCCAGTACTTGCTCTGTCCCTCCCTTTCTGGGCAGCGCTCCCAGCAGCCTGTCCTGAGGCGGCATCATTCCTGAGTGAGCACTGCTGACAGAGGTCAGGCCCATGAGAGGTGGGGGTTGAGACATCACCCGCCACCATCTGGACACTGAGGACACAGGCAGGTGGGACGCCTCCACTTCTGGTCCTCGACTCCAGCTCTCCTGCTTTGTGGCTGTCATTCTTCCAGGCAGGCTGGAAACTCGCCATCCATAGGGACACTGAGCTGGCAGGCCAAACACATGGCTCCTAAGCCCAGGCCATTCACTAAACAGAACTGTGCCCTTGGGCAAGTCACTTCTGTTCAGTATTTCAAGGGGGGGTGAGGTGGAGGGAAGGAAGGAGAAAGAGTTGGACCCAGTCTCTGTTTCTCAGTCTTATTTTTTTGTGTGTGATTTTTTTGTTTGTTTGTTTCTCAGTTTTCTGGCACTAAGTTGTCCCCAAAGGGAAGAGGCCAGTCCTGTCCAGGAGGCTGTTATCCAAGGCCCCCTTCCTCAACACATATAATTTTCCTCTTCTTGGCTTGCCCCAGTCCTCCTCTGCGTCACCCCATTCTGGTAGGTCCAGCTCTCCCCAGTCCCCTCTCCAGGGAGACACTTGTCCCTGGGGCCCCCCTCTCTCTGTAAAGTGATACCTGCTGATCTTTTCAACCTGGTCAGATGGGCAAAAGTGGGTGTCCTCCTGGACCACATGCATTTATTTTTAACCTGGGCCTTTCCCCTGTCTTAACCCTGCCAATCACTTTAATGCTGGGAATTTCAGATGCTCTGAATTTAGAGAATTTGGAGACCTTTTGAAAGTCACTGTTGAAAGTCACTGTTTTTCATTGTGCCCAAGGACTTTGCTATATGCTGTGGGAATGGCAAAATTATTCCTGAATTTTCAAAGTCAGCACAGACTTCAATTGCTTTTTGTCCCTCTAAGGTGTGTGTGTGTGTGTGTGTGTGTGTGTGTGTGTGTGTGTCTTACTGGGGATTGAACCCAGGGCATTTCACGACTAAGCCACATCCTCAGCCCTTTTTAATTTTTTATTTCTTTCTTAGTTTTATGGTATCAGAGATTGAACCCAGGGTCACTTTACCACTGAACTACATTCCCAGCCCTTTTTATTTTTTATTTTGAGACAGGATCTTACTAAGTTGTCCAGGCTAGACTTAAACTTGTGATCGCCTTGCCTCAGCCTCCTGAGTAACAGGGATTAGAGGCATGTGCCACCTCATTTGACCTCACCTGTCCTTAATTTAATTCAGGAAATATGGTCACCACAGTTGAAGAGGTCCAAAATATGTATTCAATGCTACCTTTAAAGAGCAAACAGCTGCCACGCATAGTGGCACATGCCTGTAAGCCCAGAGGCTTGGGAGGTGGAAGCAGGAGGATCACGAGTTCAAAGCCAGCCTCAGCAATTTAGCCAGGCCCTAAGTAACTCAGTGAGACCCTGTCTCATATATATATATATATATATATATATATATTTTTTTTTTTTTTTTTTTTAAGGTGGCTGGGGATATGGCTCAGTGGTTAAGTGCCCCTGCGTTCAATCCCCAGAACAAAAAAAAAAAAAAAAAAAAGAGTAAATAGCTGACCCCAGTGAAAAGAAGCCAAGAATGTGTACAGTACATGGCAGAGCCTGGGCAGGGCCTGGTACCTGTGTGCTCAAAGCCTATCTGTGGAAGTGAGGTGACATACAAGGCAGCAGGTAGTAGGTCTGCGCTTTGGAGACACAGTAAGAACTGCAAAGAGAGATCAGAGGAAGGGAGATAGGAGATCAACATTTACAGGGACTAGTTGCTTTGCATGTATTATCTTATTCAAAGTTTAATTAAACAACCCTATGAAGGAGGTGTTACTACTGCCATTTTACAACTCAGTAATTTGCCCAAGGTCATCAATAAGTGACAGAGGCTGATTTGAGCCCTTTCTAACACTCCATCACCATGCTCAGTCATCTCTCTCTGGAGAAGCCTTGGTTCACCAAAGACGTGGTGCTTGAAGGAGATCAGTCACAGAGTGTGAGATGACACTCATTATTTTAGATAATCCAAACMGGTAGCAGATGCAGCAATGAAAAGAAAATTATCTTGCTGCCCTGAAAAGAAAATTTTCCACTCCTGAGCAAGAATCCCCGAGGGGCCCTTGATAGGCACTGCCCTCCCACCTCACTCCTATCCTATCCTGTCAGGAGCCCCCTCCCTGGCCCTGATGTCAGGAGCACAGCTGTCCCCGTTACTGGGCAACACTGATGGCAGTGTGCAGGTAACGTCAGCACCCACCAGGGAGGCCAGGGGCTAAGATCCCTTATCTCACCATGGCCCAAGCTTTGACTTTCTCATTTCCTGCAGGCTCTATTTGCACACACACACCACCCTACTTCCTCCAGCACCCACTTCACTGCTGCTGACGCTGACTTCTCCCTCCCTGTGGTGGCCCAAGGCGGGTGAAGGAGGTACTGAGTCACACAGCAACCTTTTCCCCATCCCTTTGGCCCCAGGCCATCTCACTTACAAGCCCAAGACCCTTTCTGAAATCAGTAAGGCATCCTCACATGACCTTGGGCAGCTCAGTCTTGTTTTCCTTCTTGATAAAGCAAGAATAAAAATACTGCTTGCCTTGCCTTCCTTCCTACTTAACAACAGCAAAATGGTCAGCATGGAAAAAGGGAATGTTTCAATCACCAAAAAAGCATAATTTGTCAGAAAATACAAGCCCTAACCATTAGTATTATTTCAAAGTCAGAGAGAGGGTAGAAATTTTCCTCCTTGAGACAAACACTGGCACCATTGCTCCCAGCAAGCCCTCATCCTGGTAACCTGACTGCGAGCCCCCCATCCCTGCCCCTTTTCCTCCTCTTCCCAATGTTGAACAGTCTTGGCCAGTGCCAGGGCTGAGAAAGGCTGCCCTCTGCAGTCCACCTGATTCCAAACAACCGCAGACTCCCAAATCCACAATTTTGTGCCAATATTGCCACCTAGTGGTCAATTCAGGCACTGCCACCAAATTGAAGTCACTTGGCTTTGGTACCTCTTTTGGCTGGCGTCCTTTGAAATGAAGAAAAATCTCCTATCTATTTTCTGAGATCTGTATCTAGGAGCATGCCAGGTCAGGACTTGATGATAAAGAATATCTGTCCATACTTCAAACTACACAAAAAAGCACCTGGGACAGGTGTGGAGTAGGGAGGATGGGAAGGAGGATGTTATCAAGACTTGGCAAATGTGACATGTAGCCCATCCATATGTGCCCTACTGTGGCACACTCATAGTGACCCAGCCTATAAAAACTTCTGCACTGCCCCCCACCAACCCCAAGACACTATAGCACTTGCTGGTAATAAAAGGGCCAGTAACATATTTCTTATGTGTCCTTTTCTTTTCACTGTACCTGGGCCCCTTTTGAAGATGAAGCTTCACAGGTGAAAGGAGGGCCATAGCAGGTGTCTCCAACATGCCAGAGTGGAGAGTTCCCAAAGGAAAGAGAAAAAGAAAGCTGGAGGACAGCACAATATCAAGAAATGCAAAGAGGGAGCTATGGGCTTCTCCTAAAGACTCTGAAACAGAGCCCCAGGAAGAGGTAATGACAAAAGAGAAGGCGTCTCAAGCCTCCAAGAGGAAGTGGACCCAAGAGACACATGCTGGAGGTCAGAAAACGGCCATGCAAAAGGAAAGACAGCAAACTGAGCTGCAGCGAGCTCCTGAGCTGGCAGCCCAGGGCACAGGAAGTCGGGGGCAGAGCCTCAGGCCCAAAGTGGGGGGCAAAATGCCAGCCTGAATCTTTGCAATGCAGGGCAGTTGGAAGAGAGATGTGCTGAAGCCACCCGAGGAGCATGTCTGTAAGTTCTGGGGGCAGTGGCCCCCCAGTCTTGGGGTGCAGGGCCCAAGTCCTGACCAGGCACCTCAGTTGTTCCCAGGCAGTCAGGGACTATGCCAGACTGCTAGAGGTAGTGAGAGCTGGAAACATGTTAGTGTTTGGGCTATTGCACAGACCCTATGCATAAACCTAGCAAATGACCACACTCTGCAACAGACCTCTGTGCATAGCTTGTTTCCAGGATCTATCACTACTTCCAATACCCCTCAAACAACACCTCCAGGCCAACACTCAGAAGAATGGTCTGGGAGGTGGGGCTACAAAAGGAACAACTGTCCCCCAGAGTAGGTGGAGCTCAGCTCTGGAGGGGGGACCAAGAGGAAGGCGTGTCAAAGGAGGAGTTCAGACCAAGCTGGGGGTCGGCACTGGAAGAGAGCTTTCTCTATTCACTCTGAACTGGCACCTCATTCTGCACAGTTGGGAAGGAGGAGGACGTTCAGAGTGAGGTGTGGATTTGGAATCCTCAGCAAGGATTTGGAATCCCTGGGCTCAAGGGAGTGGAGGTATTTCCAAAACCTCTGCTCCTGTGCATCTCCAGACCTGGCTTGGACCTCACCAAAGTGCTCCAGCTGTTAACTAGGTCAGGGGCCCCCCTTTCTCAAAGGCCTGCATCCCTCCCTCTGGGGTGTGCCCAGCCCCTCCCTAAGTCACCCCCGGGAGAGAGAGGGGGAAAAAAGGGAAGAGAAGAGAGGCATTGACTGCAGAGGAAGGAAAAGGAAGCAGAGCAGAGGAGAGAGGAGAGAAGCAGCACATGAGTGGGTGACAGAGTAGACCAGAGAGGGCAGATCTAGGGCAGGGGGAGATCGACAGAAGGCAAGCTAAGCATCCTAAGGGGTGCCCCAAGAGCAGGGCCCAGGGGCGGGGAGCCAAAGGGGCGGGCCGGCCATGTCCCACGGGACCTACTATGAGTGTGAGCCCCGGGGTGGCCATCAGCCACTTGAGTTCTCAGAGGGCCGAGCCGGGCCTGGGGAGCTGGGGGACATGTGTGAGCATGAGGCCTCCATCGACCTCTCTGCCTACATCGAGTCTGGGGAGGAACAACTACTCTCCGACCTCTTTGCCATGAAGCCAGCGCCTGAGACCCGAGGCCTTAAGGTCCCTGGAACTCCTGCCTTTCCCCACTACCTGCCGCCTGACCCGCGACCCTTCGCCTATCCCCCACATACCTTCGGCCCAGATAGGAAGGCGTTGGGACCTGGCATCTACAGCAGCCCAGGGAACTACGACCCCAGGGCTGTGGCCGTGAAGGAGGAGCCTCGGGGGCCAGAGGGTAGCCGAGGCATTAGTCGAGGCAGCTACAATCCCCTGCAGTACCAAGTGGCACACTGTGGGCAGACAGCCATGCACCTGCCCCCAACCCTGGCAGCACCCGGCCAGCCCCTGCGTGTCCTCAAGGTAAGAGCAACCAGTTTTCCCTGCTACCCAGGGGCTGCAGCAAGGCTATGTGGAGGGGGGAATTATGAGACCATTGCTTATGCTGAGTCTGTGTTTGGTGTTGCTCTGTGAAATGGACTCACCCAAGGTTCTTTGTGCTCACTACCAGACCATGAGCCCACTCTTTCCTTCTCTGTGAACTCACTCTCACCCTGAACTCCATTCTGTCCTGAAACCCCCGTGGCTGGCTGATCTTAGCTGATGTCAGACCCCTTGCCAGCTTCCCTGTTGCCCACCATGCCCCTCTTCTTGTTTCTCTGCCTCCCGCTTCTGAAGAGGAAATGCCTGTCGATTGTACAAGAGCCTCACCACAGATAAATGGAGGAAAAGTGTCCTTGGAGAGTGTGAGAGCATAAAAGGGATTTTTGGTGTGAGGGAGAGGACCCTTTGCATCTGGGTTACTTTCTTTCACCAAGGCAGGGCAATGACAGGTCTATCTTGAAAACAGGAGCTGGCTCAGAACCCTAGATTTCTTTGACGCCCCCAAGGGATCCCCCCAGCCCCGCTGCTGAGATTCCTACTTGTCTCCACTTGACCTCTTGGTCAGCCCTCATCACTCCATACCTTTGTGCCTTCCCCTCCAGGCCCCTCTGGCTGCTGCCGCGCCCCCCTGCAGTCCCCTTCTCAAGGCGCCCTCTCCAGCCGGCCCCTCGCACAAGGGCAAGAAAGCAGTGAATAAAGACAGCCTGGAGTATAGGCTGCGGCGGGAACGCAACAACATCGCAGTGCGCAAGAGCCGGGACAAGGCCAAGAGGCGGATTTTAGAGACACAACAGAAGGTGTTGGAGTACATGGCGGAAAATGAGCGCCTGCGCAGCCGTGTTGAGCAGCTCACCCAGGAGCTGGACACCCTTCGCAACCTCTTTCGCCAGATCCCTGAGGCTGCCAACCTCATCAAGGGTGTAGGGGGCTGCAGCTGAATCTGACTGGTGGACTGTGGGCACTAGACCCCTGGCTTGACCCTGGAGATCTTTACTCTGCTGGGACCCTAGACCTTCACAGACCAAATCCAAGACCATTGACAATGGCAGCTGATGGCTAAGGAAGGCAGGACCCATAATGATTCTGAATAAATTGCACTGTGATTTGCTGCTGGGGTTGTTCACTGGGCCTGGGCCTGGGCCTGTTTGTGTGTGTGTGTGTGTGTGTGTTGTGTGCGCGCGTGTGCACATGTGTTTTCATGTGCATGCACATGTTTAGCACAGGGGACCCTGAGGCCAGGTAATGCCGTGTGCCTGGGTCTACATAAGTCTTGTCTCTTATAGCTCTCTCCCAACTACCACACAGCCAGATCATAGGTCTGTCACTTTGCTCTTCTCTCCCTTGAACTTGCTGTCCCTGCCCCTAGCTACCCCACTCTGTCCTTCTGCAAGCAGAAGGGAGGCTCCCCACACCATACACACACAACCTGGTGCAACTCTGGATACTTTGCTGACAGAGCCCTAGAATTGGTAGGGCAATTTCAGCACCATACAGTCTCTGTGCTAGCCTGCTCTCGCCTGAAGGTATAGTCTGAAAGCTCCTGCCCTAGGTGATCAAGGAAAATTCCTGATGGCTCTGCGATATTTATGGTCCTTTAGCTCTTGATCCAGCACTCTGTATCTTCTCTTCAGTTTGATAGCCTCACCATTGTCAATGGTGACATCCCTCACCACTGTTTCCACCTACCTACTTCCATCTTTATCCTTTACCGCTATTTTAGGGGCTCTGGTTCCCTAAAAGTGGAGAATCTAAGTGTTTGGGAGAGGAATCAGTTATCACCTGGGAAAGGCTCAACTGGGAGACTTGATTTGTATGTGAGCATTGATAATGAGGAGGAGGAGGACAGTGTGCCTGTGCCAGTAAACACCCACATTTAAAGCAGTTTCTTTTTCACAGAATTAAAGCCTTGGAGGCAGAAGAGTGCAGTAATTAAGAGCCTCAGTTTGCATCTCCCTCTGCTATTTACTGGTGGTGTGACATTGAACCATTTACTTCTCCTTTCTCTGCCTCAGCTTTTTCATCTGCAAAATGGGAGTAATTTTGGTGCCCATCTCATAGTCAGTACTGGGGATGGAACTAGGGGCACTCTACCACTAAGCTTCATCCCCAGTCCTTTTTATTTTTTTACTTTGAGACAGGGTCTCACTAAGTTGCTGAAGCTGGCCTTGAATCTGTGGTCCTCCTTCCTCAGCCTCCTCAGTAGCTAGGATTTCAGATGTGTACCTATAAAAAACAGGGACTGGCATATCATAAGCATGAATAGTTGTCATGATTCCACATTGCTATAACTGAAAGTTAACTGTAAAATTCTCATTTTACAGATAAGGAAACTGAGGCCTCGGAGAGGGGAAGGAAATTACCAAGAATCATGGGACTGTTTAGAGGCAGAATCTAATTTAGCTCCATAGTTGGGCACCATGGCACACATCTTAAGGCAGAAGGATTGAAAATACAAAGCCAGCCTCAGCAGTTAAACAAGGCCCTAAGCAATTTATCAAGACCCTGTCTCAAAATAAAAAATGAAAAGTTCTGGGGATGTGCCCACCTTCACTGAATATACTTGAGGGTAGTGACAAGTGCCAACTATTAAGACTCAGAGGTTAAGTTCCCTGGGTTCAATCCTTAGTACCAAAAAAGTAGCTTCATAAAAATCACAGAGTTGGGGCTGGGGTTGTGGCTCAGTGGTAGAGTACTTTCCTAGCACATGTGACACACTAGGTTCAATTCTCAGCCCCACATAAAAAAATAAATAAATAAAGATATCATGTTCATCTATAACAAACTATTTTTTAAAAAAATCACAGCAGTCTTTTTTGTTTGCTTAGTTTCATTTTTTTGGTTTGGTTTTACTTCTGGGGATTGAACCCAGGGGCACTCTACCATTGAACTACATCCTAGTCCTTTTTATGTTTTATTTTGAGACAGGTCCTTGCTAAGTTCCTGAAGCTGACCTCCAACTTGTGATCCTCCTGCTTCAGCCTCCTGAGTCACTGGGATTATAGGCGTGCACTACCATGCCAGGCAAAATCACAGATTTTAAGAGATGCTAGAAAAGACCTCAATAGATATTTGGTGAGCTTTGCCCTCAGACAAGCAAGATAGTGTGAGCCACATTTTATAGATAAAGCAGTGAGGGCCAGAGAGGATAAGAGCCTCCTGAAGCTCATTCAGCCAGTTGACTGTCTTAATAGTTGGCACTTGTCTCTATCCTCAAGTACATTCAGTTCAGGTAGGGACAGGAATCATGTTCAAGAAATGACCATGAGCCAGACATGGTGGTGCATGCCTGTAATCCCAGCAGTTCAGAAGACTTAGTCAGAAGGTTGGAGAGTTTAAAGCCAACCTCAGCAATGGCTCTAAGTAACTCAGTAAGACCCTGTCTCTAAATAAAATACAAAATAGGGCTGGGATGTGGCTTAATGATTGAGTACCCCTGAGTTCAATCCTGGTACCACACACACACACGCAAAAAAAAAAAAAAAAAAAAAAAAAAAAAAAAAAAAAAAAAAAAAAAAAAAAAAAAAGAAAGAACAAAGAAATAAAGAAAATAAATGATTATGAACTGGGTGCAGTGGCACTAGCTTGTAATATCCTTGATTTTGCAGACTAAGGGAGGAGGGTCACAAGTTTGAGGCCAGCCTGTCTCAAAATAAAACTAACTAAATAAAAAGAGCTAAGGATGTGGCTCAGTGGTAGAGCAATCCCCAATACAAGCAGGGGGGGGGCCAAAAAGTGATCATGAATTGCCCGACAGTGGCAGAGACACAGGACAGAATATAGGGCTGCAGTCTTTCCTAGTTCACTGCTGGGAAAGCCTGAGTTAGACATGAAGGAATAACTAACTCCCTGGGAGGCAGACAGACTTGTATCCGGATCAACCCAGTTTCCTCTCCCCTCCCATACCTCCTGCATCCTCAGGCATCTTGTGTTCACCAGGACTACCCCAGCCAGGACCCTGTCCCTTTCCCCCTGCTTTGGATCTGGGCTGAGGGGACAGACCTGAACCCCCAATGGAGGGATCGACAGGAGCCACCTGAGTTTGGGAGGGAGTGGTTCCTGTCTCTGCAGGCGCTTGGGAGAATCCTCTCACCTTCCCTTCAGCCAAGAGGGATAGGTTGCATAAGGGGGTTTGTACAGAACGTGGTGAGTGACTCAACCTCCGGATTTCCTCCTCTCAGCTAAGACCACTGCCCCTCGACTTCCTTTCAAGGTACTGGAAGATGGGACCTGGGTTGCCCCAACATACCTCAAGCCTCTTTCCCAGAGATCCACCAAGCTCCCAGCCCACCTGTCAGCTCCTTAGGACCAGAGCCTGCTGGAGGCTTTCTGACTGGCCCAGAATCTAGAGGAGAGCCACATCCTCACCTCTCCACTGGCATCCCAGCCAGAGGCAATGGGGAGCATACCCCATTCCTCTCTGTCAGATTGTATCCAGGGAGATGGCTTGCAGCCAGAAGGCACAAGGCCTAGAAGAGATTTTCAATCTGACACCAACTGCCTTCGGCCAAAGTAATTTATTTGATGAGTATCTGTCAAGCATCTATCTGTGAACAGGACAAGTGATCAGCTGAAGGGTAAAGGCAAAGGCAATAAACTAGGTGGCCTAATGTTCTTGGCCCATCTAGATTCCCCCTCTAACTTTCCTGTCCTGCTCAGCTCTCAGGTGGTTGCCTTCCTACCTCAACAGGCTTCCCCAGTAGGAGAAGGTGAGACTGGCAGGAGATGGATGTGCTAGAGTGGACCCTTCCTGCCCCCTCTTTCAGGGCCTCTCCTGCGTTTAGGGCCTGATGGGTAGTGGCACCCCTGCTGCARGAGACCAGGGTAACTCAACACTGCTGTAGCTTTCCCCAGATCCTGTTCTTTTACCGTTATAAAGTACCTTCGTTCAATTCTGCTTGACTCTATTTGAACATACCCTTGAGGAATACCAAATAAACTCGTAGTAAGGCTTTGTTAGCTGGGGTGGTTAAGGGAGGCCTCTTGGAGGAAGTGATATTTAACTGGAAACAAAAATATTCAAGAAGGAGGCTGATGTACAACTGGGAAAAGTGAGCAGAGAGAATAACAAATGCAAAAGGTGTCCATAGATGAAAGAAAAGAAAGGAAACCAAGCGTGATTGGCCAAATRGAAAGAAAGACAAGTGGCAAGCAAGAAAAATACTTCCTTTGCTGCAGAAGGTAGTTGCAAATGACTTTGCCTACTTCCTCTGCCCAGGAGGATAGGTACTAAGAAGCAGGACTTAGCCCCTAAAGTCAGATTCCCAGAGCTTCCCCAAGGAAAGGAGCCCAGAAGGGGACAGTTGGCCACCTGTGCCTAGGGAAAGGCTCAAGGACTGGGAACAGAGGATCTTTGAAAACCAGCAAGCAATGCCCCAACAGCACATATACACTCTTGTTGCTTTAGAACCCATAGTTGGGCCCACTTTTCCTTCTTGAGTAGGATCTCAGGCCATGGGAAGTCATTGAGAAGGAAGACTGTGGGAGACACTGCGAATAGTGAGGAAACTATAAGGCGCAGTGGCGCAGGCCTGTAAACCCTGCAACTTAGGAGGCTGAAGCTGGAGGCTTGAAAGATTGAGGCCAGCCTCAGCAACTTAGTGAGAACCTGTCTCAAAATAAAAATAGAAAGGACTGAAGTATATATAGCTCAATGGTAAAGAGCCCCTGGGTTCAATGCCCAGTATTTAAAAACAAAACAAAACAAAACAAAAAAACGGGGCGGAAGCTGTCCAAGGTGAGCCTGTCAAGGTCAGACAGGCGGAGGTAGCAACTTGTGAAAGCTACCCCCTGCTCAGTGCACACCTCCCAACCCCCCACGTACAGATTGCCACATGCCTAGGCCCCCAGGGCCCCCATCCCAATGTTGCAAGATCCCGGTTGGGGTTGTGGGTAGAAAGGGGCCTCTTCACCTCTACCCCTTGCCTTGCTTCAAGCCAGTGAGGAGACCTGGGATGAAGGTACAGAAGATGCAGGGGCTGAGGGCCTGCGCATTCTTCTTGAACCCAGCCCCCAGCAAGCAGACCCAGTACTCAGTCTGGTCTGCTTCAAAGTGACAGTAGCCTAACCTGGGACAGAACTCCTGAGTGTCCTCTGTCAGGTACTC